CTTGTTTGGCTAATATCTGCACATATCAAATTGTTCATGCTCACAAACAACATTTTCCTGATTTCCCTGATTTCCCTTGCTCTTGAGTACAGGCTCTGATCCGCATCACCGAGTCGGAGCCGTAACATATTTCAAAGCTAACAAAATTTCATTAAAACTCCATTGCAGCACTAGCCCTATGAGCAACAGCAGGGGGCACACTCTTGACCTGCTAATTACAAAGGGGGTTAATGTATCAAATGTTAATGTAGTTGATGTTGCTTTGTCAGATCATTTCTGTGTATTTTTTGACATGTGTTTTGCTAGCAAACCACCAGCTGAATTTACAACTGTTAGAAGAAGACACATACATGAAAACACAAGTGAACTGTTCATGGGAATGCTAAATTTTGAGAAAACTCCATGCTCTACTGTTGATGAATTGTATAACTCTGTCACCACCAGTGTTCTGACTGTTCTGGACGCCATTGCTCCTGTGACGGTTAAAATAGTTACCAGTAAGAAAAAGGCCCCATGGACTAAGGCAGACTCGGTCAGGGCACAGAAGCAAGAGTGCCGGAGGGCCGAACGGAAGTGGCGAAAGTCCAATTTCCAGGGCGATTATGAAATCTTTAAAGATGAGTTGGGTGAATTTAACCGGGTTCTACGTAGAACAAGAGAAATGTATTTTTCTGACATTATTGGAGGTTGCAGTAACAATTTTCGTGTTATGTTTTCAACAGTTGGTAGATTAACGAACCCCCCTGTAAAGTTGCCCCTAGAATTTTCCTCTAAATCTAGGTGTAATGAGTTCGCACAGTTTTTCGATGACAAAGTACAAGGAATCAAAAACACTATCACCTCCACAGCACGTATAACAATGCAACAGCCAGAGAAGCTTTTTGAGCTAACTCACTTTGCACCTGTGGATACTGAAACTGTCAAAAAGATAACCATGAGTCTGAGCTCCTCCACATGTAGCCTGGATATATTGCCCTCTAAATTTCTGAAGTCCGTCCTGAGCAGTTTGTTACCTTCACTGACACAAATAGTAAACATGTCTCTGTCGTCAGGAACATTTCCTATGGCCCTAAAAACAGCAGTCATAAGACCTCTCCTAAAAAAGAGCAGTCTGGATCCTGCGGGACTTCAAAATTATCGCCCCATATCGAATCTGCCATTCATTGGAAAAATTCTTGAAAAAGTGGCCCCCCAACAACTTACTGAATTTTTAACAATGAATAATTATTTTGATATGTTCCAGTCTGGGTTTAGACCCCACCACAGCACTGAGACCGCTCTAGTGAAGGTAACAAACGACATTCGACTTCACACTGATGCAGGTAAAGTCACAGTTTTGGTCATGTTAGATCTTAGTGCCGCGTTCGACACTGTCGACCATGAGATCCTCATGCAGAGACTGGAGGACTGGGTTGGTGTCACTGGCACAGCCCTAGACTGGTTTAGGTCTTACCTGGAGGATAGGAAGTACTTTGTGGAGATTGGAGACTGCGTCTCAGATCATGTGGCCCTGACCTGTGGAGTACCACAGGGGTCGATCCTGGGACCTCTCCTATTTAATCTCTACATGCTGCCGTTAGGTCAGTTAATACAAAGAAACAAAGTGTCCTACCACAATTACGCCGACGACACTCAGATCTATGTCTCACTGACTGCAGGAGAACATGGACCAGTGGATTTGCTCCTTCACTGTATCCAACAGATCAGTGACTGGATGCAAAATAATTTCCTCCAGCTAAATGCAGACAAAACCGAAATCATTGTCTTTGGTCCCCAGAAACAAAGAGAGGGCGTCATTTGTCAACTTCAGTCTCTCTCCCTACTTCCTTCAGACAAGGTCAGAAATTTGGGGGTAATACTGAACTCAGACCTAAATTTCAATAGCCACATAAAATCAATAACATCAACAGCTTTTTACCATCTGAAGAACGTTGCCAAAGTTAGAAATATAGTGTCCAGGGCAGACTTGGAGATTCTTGTCCATGCATTTGTCCCCAGCAGGCTAGACTACTGCAATGGCCTGCTTACAGGTCTGTCCAAACAGACCTGTAAGCAGCTGCAGTACATCCAAAATGCAGCAGCTAGAGTCCTGACAGGAACCAGGAAGTATGACCATATTAGTCCGGTCCTCAGGTCTCTGCACTGGCTTCCTGTGGCTCAAAGAATAGATTTTAAAACAGCTCTGCTTGTGTACAAGTCTCTCCATGGCCTTGCACCAAAATACATTAGTGACATGTTGGTGTCATATGAACCAGCCCGGACTCTGAGGAGCACAGGGACTGGCCTCCTGCTGGTGCCCAGAGTGAGAACCAAACATGGGGAGGCTGCGTTTCAGATCCATGCAGCTAAGATCTGGAACAATCTCCCTGAAAATGTGAGGGAGGCGTCTACTCTGTCAATGTTCAAATCCAGGTTAAAGACTGTTCTGTTTGCCTGTGCATACAACTGAAGGATTTTATCTCCATCTCTAATACACTGCTGTCATTTATTTATTTATATTTTTTAAATTTCTTGTGTAATTTTGAAAGTTTTAATGGTTTTATTCTTTTGTGTGATTTTAATGTTTTAATTGTGTTTTAATCTTTTGTGTGATTTTAATGTTTTAATTGTGATTCTGGTGTTTGTTTTATGTGATGATTTGTGATGTGGACTGTGAAGCGCTTTGTGTTGCCCTGTGTATGAAAGGCGCTCTACAAATAAACTTTGATTGATTGAAGTCAGCCAAATTTGCGAGAAATGTTGCAACAAGGATTCACGAAGAACACCTCCTAGGGTTTTCATGGAAATCATTTGTAACTTGTCGATTACTTACTGAGACACATTGAACTTCACAAAACCACATTCACAGCTGTGAGCAATTATCCCTAACTTTTTCAAAAGTTTTTACATGCTTCATACAGCATGAAATCTTCTTGATTTCATGCATTTGTAATTGCTTTTTTCTGACAAACAATGTACAATTTTACCAAAACATGGCAATAACTTTTGTCTCTACTCCTTTTCAATCAGAGAACTACAACTACACTACACTTGCTGCCACTGTATTGAGATAATGTAATGCATGCAAGGGTTTTTACGTTCAGGCACAGCATTTGTCTAACAAAGAACACGACATGTTAATTGTGTAGGTGCTTATGTTGGAGAGGAAGTCAATTGCTGTTTGCCGCTTTTGATGTTATGTTTATTTTGTTTGTATTATAGAATTACTTTTATTAAACATGAGATTGGATATTTTTTTTGTAGATTTCAAAACATATTTCAGGCATGTATTCTGGCAAAGAGGAAGTAAGTTTTGCTCTACACAAACTGGCTGTAGCAGTGTTTCTGCCCTTCTTTTATAGTTTCAGAGTTGAATATACTCTGCTAAGTGTAATCAGGTTTGGTATTTTAATTAGAAGCACCATATAACAATATGCTAATCAGACTGTTCAAAAGCCGAGAGAAAAATGTATACGCTAATTGAGTGAGAAAGCTGTCAAATCTCTCTTAAGTCAAAGCCACCTGTCAAGTACAATGCACATACATTTCTTGTTTACGTTGAAATAAGCACAAACATCATCTGTCCTGCACACATATCTTTGTGTGAAGACTGGACAATCCATCAACGTGGTGTCAAAGGTGTAGACCGTTTATCAGTGCTGTATTGGTAGGAGACCCTTACATAATTCTTTTTAATAAAACTTACAAATATGCAGATTGTGGATCATGCGCAGCTCATGCACAAACAAAGGACTCATAATTTTTGTTGGAGGTTGCAGCGAGACAAAGATGCAACTTAAATAATTGCATAAACACGATTGTCGGTGTAGCCAAATTTTGCTCATTAACCTTGTTATTCTCTTCCCCTTAATCCATTTCTGGGTCGGGGGTGGCAGTCAGAGCTGCAGGTGGTGAGTCCACAGGAGCTGAGATCTTTCAGTGGGGGCTTCAGGCAAAGTGGGGTTAAGTGTCTTGCCCAAGGACACAACGACAGCAGACATCAGTGGGAATCGTGAAGTAGGTCTTACACTAGGCTCGAACCCACGACCTTCAGGTCGTCCCCTACCTTGTTTTTCTTTCAAGATGCAATGATGTCATTCACTGAATTAAGTTTTGTGTGTTCATTTAGCTAATTACACTTAATTACATGCAAGTTAAATAATCAATAGGACAATTATATTTTTAGCACCACATACAATAGAATATAAGTGAACTGAATGAATAATCAAAATTGTATTTCTCACATACATGTGTACAAATGTGAACATTTGATTCTCAATTTCTTCAATTTCAATGTTTTCAACTAGAAGAAGGTCCTCTGAGGACCCCACTTTGGGAAGCACTACATGATGCAATGCACCATTTTTGTGGGAGTATCATTTTCTTGCATCTAATTATTACTGTCAAATTGATGGTATTTGTATTGCTGTTGAAAATATGGAACTTTAATTAAGAAACATAAAGGGGTCCTAGGGAGGGATATAAATTACAAAAGCCTGCATCTTTTGAGAGCAGCACCCTCCATGAGGGATAGAAGTTTGTTTTGCTTTTGGGGAGGACAGGACGGTGCAGAGATTAAAGATTTTCTTAATGCTGAATAAATCAAATGTACAACTTATGGATAGCATTACTTTTTGATTATAATACATTCTTTGTTTCAACTTTCCTCGATGTTTTCTTTTTTGTGCAATGCAGAACATCTTCTAGATGATGTTGTATTTTAATCAGAAAGCCCTTGCGGGCAGGAGTCTGATTGCTAATGTAATGATGAATGAAGTATGCGGTGCTTTGAATACGAGGAGAGAAATGTGGGATTTTCCACAGCCAGTACCAGCGAACGGAAAATGATCACACTCTGCTTAATTATATGATTATAAGTGCAGTATACTATTATATGTAAGACGGAGACAGAGAGTCAGAAAATACAACCATAAAAGCTGAGCCTAAGAAACCAATTTAAAAAAATATGCGAGGTCAGGAACATAGAAATAGTCAATTTATTTGGTCAACAGAACACAATGTCACAGTATCTCCTCACTGTCCTTATGAGGCTCCAACTGGGCCCCTGCAGCAACAGTTCATGATCATCAAGATGTGTTTTGTCAAGAAGTAATGGAAAGACCACTCCCATTTTACACCCAACTACAGTCCATGCAAACATACTGTTGCAGATACTGACGAAAAGAACACACAACCAAATGTGCTCGAGCTGTTTTGAGTGGAGGGCATCCTCATCCACTAATGAAGTCGCAAATCTCCTCGAAAATTAGATCAACCAATGTCAGGAGGGAGAGCGAGACGGAACAGTTTCATAGAGGTGTGGATATATGAGCGAGCTAAGCTCAGAGGATGACGATAATCTATTGGTGGCATGTTCAAGACGTCACTGCTCTGAGCCCACAATGTCATCTGTACATTAGAAGCTATTTATAACATCACCTGAGGGAAAGTGACTCTGGCCTGTCTGACAACCGGTTACTAACAGAGGTGGCAAGTAACTAAGTACTGTACTTAAACTGGAGTACCGCAAAACCACAAACATGTACTTTGTAATAAAATCCTCGTAGCTAGTTCCTACAGTTTTAAGCTATTACTATTTTTCACATGCATGTATGTTTTGGTCTTTGTCACTTCTTTAGATCAGTTTTTCAGACAGAAAAGTGGAAAAAAGAGGACCACCCTCACTCGCCAGTCAACTTTCAGCCCAAAGCGTCAAGTAAAATAATGCATTTATAATAAGATAAAAACAGCACGTTGTGGCCTTATTTGTTCACAAAATGTTACTTGTCAAAAAAAAATATATTTATGAGAGCCTTCAGGTTTTTTCTGGTGTTAGTACCTCACTAGCTTTTTACTTTTACTCCTCACTTTCAATCCAAATATACGTTATTTCTACTTCTTACATTTTAAAATTAATTGTTACATGTTTTGTTTGTCTTGTTCAGTGGGAAATATTTCTACAGTGGCATAAAAGAGGAGCGGGTACTAAAATATATGTAGAACAAATGTGAAAGATAATACAGTATGAAATTATATTAAAGGAATAGGCCACAGTTTTTACATACTGACATATGTTCTTACCTTAGACTAGTTGATATGTACCTGTCTGGTCGTTGTCCGTGCGCTCTGTCTTGCAAACGGAGCACAAACGCAGCCTCTTCCACAGACTGTATAGTACCAAATCAGCTCACGTTAGAAGCTACCAAACTCTTCCACATGTTCCCTATTTAAACTACTTTGTTACACTACAAAGTATAGTAACACAGAAATGTAACATGTCGATTTTCTCAGCGGATAAAAAGGGGTACTATATTGTGAGGCGTAATAATACGAGGAGCGTTATGTCCGCGCACTAACTCCAAAGACTTCATTCCCGCTGAATTCCGTCAATAGAAGCGGCGTGACTTGTTGGAGTTAGTGTGCGGACATAGCGCTCCTCGTATTATTACTCCTATTACGCACGGACAAAGATCACACAGGTACATATCAACTAGTCTAAGGTAAGGTAAGGACATATGTCAGTATGTAAAAACGGTGGCCTATTCCTTTAAGACCTTTTGCCAAAACTGAGTGTAAAATATTTTAATCTCATGTACTCATGTAGTGTTTTCTCATACTTTTATACTTAAGAAATTGAATTATTTTAGTATAAACCTACCCTGAGAGTAAAAGAACTACCTATACTTTTACTTTAATACGCAAGAGATGAACTAAGCATTGTTATTTAAGAAAATTCCAGTCAAATGGAGAAGGCAAACTCAACCTGACATTGGTGTAAGGAAAGGTCAGCAGAGCATTTGTCCAGATAAATGATTGGAAAGGTACAAGGCCAAAGGGCTCAGTATTCACATCACCGACATAAGAGAAGATTCTTTGTCGATGTCAGAAAGGGAAAACCGGACCAGACAGACAGGCGCTCTGAATCTAAAACAGTATCAATGTTTGCATACTGCTGCTACATTTTCTTTTCTACAATGATTATGGATGTGTAATCTATGGCTCTATACAAAGAACAAGCCATCTGTGAACATGATTCATAAAAGCAGAGTTCTCCATATTTTACAATCTCACTCTGATATATTGGCTGCATTTGTTTGTAAACAACTGAAGGAAAAACATTCTGTAAAATGTGAAATCAAAAAATGATCCCCGTTGGCTGATTATTGTTGTTTTGAAAAATGCAACAACAACAAAAAAGATTGAGGACAGTAAAGATAAGAATAGGAAAAGGATTCCAAAGGCATGTGGGTTAGGTGGGCACATGGATGGACCCCTGTACACTTTAAAATAATACATAAAAAACCTCTTGAAATATGACAGTTTAATGCATCTTTTTTTAATGCAGTCCAAATGTATTTGAATAAAGATTGTAGGGTCCAAACTGTGAAGCCGTGTAGTTGACGCTCTCAAACCATAATCCATAGTGTATAAAGTGAGTGAATAAATCCATGGAACAGTAAAATGCAATTACTCTTTAAAATGCAAAAACTCTTCACCGAGTATTCACACACACAAAAAAACACACACTGGACAAAAAAGGAAAGGACATAAAGGACGAGGAAAGAGTAGAGCAAGACTGAGAGCGGTCAAAAAACTGTGTGGCTCCACTCCACACTCCACGCTTTCCCCTGGCACACCTGCACCTTATCTAGCCTGAGCCAGGAGTGAGAAAAAATAAAATAAAATACATATTAAATCAAAATGAATCCATGATTAATGTGATAGCCTGTAACTCTAAATGAATTACAATTGCTCAAATAAAGTACCTTAGCAATAATGATTAACAAAATAGTTAACTAAATTAGATGCAAAATACACCAAATTAAATCAATTGCCAAATAATCATAATTCTAATCTAATCACAGAAATAATGTATTTCAATCAAATAATAATACAAACAAAATGGTTATGTGTCAAAATATAATCAAAACAACAAAAAATTTATTTAGGCTCCAACATAGATAATCTTGACTTGGTTCAAGCAAACATTATTTGTTATCAGTTTTCTTTAACTTGCAGAAAAGAATTCTGATTTTGTTGAAATCCCATCAGCCCGTGTTATTAATTCACCTGCTGGTGAGACGTCAAGCTTGATCACACATGTTGAGTGAATGTGACTCCTCATACATGTCCCTTCGTGGCGAGTCTGCTTGTGAGAAAAGTGTTTTAGATCCAAACAAAGCACACACCGACAGAACAACGAAAGTGTAATAAAGAACCGAAAAGAGTAGAAGTGAGGTAGAATGTAGCCGGGAAGAGAAAAATGGGACTTGTTACTTTTCAAAATGATGGAACGTGTTGCCGCCCCAGAGCTCTGTTCAATAAGCCGCCTTCTGTTACCGAGCGTGAAAAGCCAGGAAGGAGGAAGAAAGAGCAAAATGGCCGAGTGTGTACTTGGGAGTGCGTCAATGTGCGAGTGTGTTGTTGTGTCACTATAATTCCATAAAGAGCATTAGTCCGCCTACTCTGTTGCCTTCAGTGCTGTTCTCTCATTCCACCACATGACTGATTATGATCAAAGACAGATTACCAGATGGAGCGGGGAAAGCATGTATGTCATTATTACTGAAACCAAGCATTTTTTGTATCAATTAATATAAGTTGATTATTTGGTCAATCTTAGATGAGAAATTCAAGCATGCAGCCCTTATTGGCGCACATACAGCGTCAGTAAGGGCTGCATGTTTGTATTTCTCATCTAAGATTGACCAAATAATCAACTTATATTAATTGATTAAACAAAAAATGCTTGGCTTCAGTAATAATGACATATGAACCATATGTTTTTATTTTCTATATGTAGATGACAATTATGAATGTATTTATGTAGGTACTTACGAAGCTTCTGTTCTGAGTGATGAAGGCTGTTATATTGTGTTTGATTGCTTTATTCACTGCGGAAAAGTTTCATAGAATGTGATTAGGCGACAGGAATTCAATTTCTTAGAGCTCGTGAAGAGTCCTTGTGTCTGAGCGAGCTGGCGCGCTGCAGTGTTGACTGTGTAGAAGAAAACACTTGGACAATGTAAGTGTGAAGCTTTGTGTGGAATGTTTTGTTTTTAATTTATGTGAGATTCTTATATCTGCTTTGTGGTATTTTTTTAATCAGGGCAGATTGTAAAAGCATAGGATGTAACGTTTTAACTTTAAACTACAACTCACCCTCAAATCCACTTTTTTTGCTGATAAACGGTATAAATGAGGGTCCAATAGCGTTGTCCACATATCCTGGTCATAATTTTGTCACTTCAGTGCAAATTAGTTGAAAGATCAACTTTCTGCCTAAAACCGTCAGTGAGGCGCCATCCGCAGGCTACCTGTATTTACTACATTTGAATTTTTAATCTGGCGCCAAATCTGGCGCCAAATCTGGCAACGTCTGCGGTGATACTTGATGTCTGCAGTGATACTTGACGTCTGCAGTGATACTTGACGTCTGCAGTGATACTTGACGTCTGCGGTGAGACCTGACGTCTGCAGTGATACCTGACGTCTGCAGTGATAATTGACGTCTGCTGTGATACTTGACGTCTGCAGTGATACTTGACGTCTGCAGTGATACTTGACGTCTGCAGTGATACTTGACGTCTGCAGTGATACCTGACGTCTGCAGTGATACTTGACGTCTGCAGTGATACTTGACGTCTGCAGTGATACTTGACGTCTGCAGTGATACTTGACGTCTGCAGTGATACTTGACGTCTGCAGTGATACTTGACGTCTGCAGTGATACCTGACGTCTGCAGTGATACTTGACGTCTGCAGTGATACTTGACGTCTGCAGTGAGACTGAGTCTTGAGCGCAGTGATACTTGACGTCTGCAGTGATACTTGACGTCGCTGCAGTGATACTGACGTCTGCAGTGATACTGACGTCTGCAGTGATACTTGACGTCTGCAGTGATACTTGACGTCTGCAGTGATACTTGACGTCTGCAGTGATACCTGACGTCTGCAGTGATACTTGACGTCTGCAGTGATACTTGACGTCTGCGGTGAGACCTGACGTCTGCAGTGATACCTGACGTCTGCAGTGATACTTGACGTCTGCAGTGATACTTGACGTCTGCAGTGATACTTGACGTCTGCAGTCATACCTGACGTCTGCAGAGATACTTGACGTCTGCAGTGATACCTGACGTCTGCAGTGATACTTGACGTCTGCAGTGATACTTGACGTCTGCGGTGAGACCTGACGTCTGCAGTGATACTTGACGTCTGCAGTGATACCTGACGTCTGCGGTGATACTTGACGTCTGCAGTGATACCTGACGTCTGCGGTGATACTTGACGTCTGCAGTGATACTTGACATCTGCAGTGATACCTGACGTCTGCAGTGATACTTGATGTCTGCAGTGATACCTGACGTCTGCAGTGATACTTGACGTCTGCAGTGATACCTGACGTCTGCAGTGATACCTGACGTCTGCAGTGAAGGCTGACGTCAGTTGCCCAGTCTCGTTCGCGCCCCCGTAGCGAGTTGGAGAAGGAATAGCAGAGAGTATTTTCATCGATTGTCAGGTTTGCGATTAGTTATAGGTAGGTTTTTATTAGCATAGCTGTTTGTATTATTGAAAATTGTGTAGTGTTAATAGCGTTGTTGTTGAATATTGTTGTTTTAGTCTCTATTGCTTTTATTGTCGAGTGTCACTCACAGCCTAGACCTGCCCAACATTCCCCCCCCCTGCCTGTCCCCTTTAGTCCTCCAGGCTATGCCCATTTGGAGGACGATTTGAACAGGAAAGGTGAGTGACGTAAACCTCAAGGAGCAGGGGTTAGAATTTCTTTAACCTACACGTTGTAAAAGTGTCCCTTGAGTGATCTAAAAGTCACATTCTGTGGATTTTCTTCTTCATAAAAAAAATAACGGACTTGATGGCATCAGTTTGTTATTGGTCCTTGGAGTTGGTCATTTCTTTAATGAAATCAAGCTGGTTTGATCTCTACCCCCGCAGCTGCATCAGTCAAAGTAAACAGGTGCCAACAGTATCTTTGGTTAATGCATTTATTCTCTCAAGTGTCTCTAATGTTAGGGTGCGTTTCTGTTAAATAGCCAGCAGAGATAGACTTGGCTAAAACATGAAATAGAACATCTACCATGGAGTACATCCATCCTCATTTTGATAATGTATCTGTTGGAAGAGCCAAGAAAAGCAGATGGGAAATTATTTATTTTTCAGCTTGTTTTTGAAAGGGGATTTGGGATCGCTACTGCCCCCGGTGGTCTGCTGATATATAGCTTTGCCAAGACTTGTCTTTGATAGACGCATGGAACAGATAGAAACATACACCTCTGATTGACAAGTGTTTCAAACATTGAATATGAAAGAGCAATGTATAATCAAATGTTCCTTGTCCCATTTCTGAGGTTTCCTGAAAATGTCAAACAGCACATAACTTAGTTACAGAATCACAGACAGACATTCAAACAAACCCTGATGAGAACATAACTCCTTGACAGAGGTATAACAGATGTATCCCATTCATCCTGGCAGCAGAGACGTCTTGACTTTTCCACGCACACTTCCTCATCCGGGGAACCCCAAGATGCTCCGAGGCCAGCTGAGAGACTAGTCCCATTCTGCGAGCCTTTGGTCTTCCCTTGGGTCTCTTCCCAGTGAAACATGAAACACTGCAGGTGCTTCTGAAATAGATGCCTGGGTAACCTCGTCTGGCTCTTCTCCATCACCCCTTATATAATCCTGTTGCTTGTCAAATTCATGTGTGGCTAATGAATCAATATTCACTCCGCTCACTGCAGTTTACTGCAAAATAATTTTACAAATGTGAAATTTGGGTGATAACAAGCAATTCTGTGTGCTTTTTCCGTCTATAAAGTCTGAATGTGTCGCTCTAATCAGTTATTGTGCTGTCTTCTTTTGCGCATTAATAAGAAAACCTCTTGTCACATTGTTGCTCAGTGGTTGAATAAGATTCCTTCTTTCTAAATCTAATTCCTCAATAATTTTGCTTTGAAATCCTGTGTTGTTTATTTCTTCCTCTCTTATAATGAAAATGGATGCACATCCTGTTGCTGGGGGCAGCAGGAGAAAGCATTGCCAAAGATTGACAGTTATAATACTTGAAAGTATTCAGTGGAAATTTAAGATAAAAAAAGCTGCTCCACCACATGAAGCATAACCTTGTGTTTTGTCGAAAAGTAAAGACTTGATTAGTTTTCTTTCAGGTGGAAAAGTACATTTGCATTTTTAAAGCGACTCTAGCAATAATTAGAAAGAAAAATGATGAGCGCCATTTACTTCCAAAGTCACCACATGCAAACTAAAGAGCTCTGGGAGATGTTGGACTGTGGCCAATGTCATTATTGAATCAACCACAGCTCTGTACAGTCCCATTCTGAACTCGCCAGGAACATTGTCGGAAATTTAACTGGGAACAGAATGTAACCGTGTATTTCAGAAAGACGCTCGCAGATTTTGTAATTCTTGAATAGATAAACAAGTCTGGAAAATGTGTTTCAAATCCAAATGTCCCAAAAGTGGCCGGCGCATTTTCTTCGTAGTTTAGAAATGTATTACAATTGTTTAAATGTTTGTTTGCTGTTTGGTAGTTTTGTGATGGATTAAGCGATATCACAATATTGATGTAAAATAAAACAACAAATCACAATAGAAGTGCTGCCCCCAATGAAAATTAACATTGGGGGCAGCACAGTGGCTGAGTGGTTAGCGGTTCTCAGCAAGTGAAGTTTGCATGTTCTCCCCATGTCCGCATGGGTCTCCTCCGGTGCTCTGGTTGGCCCTACAGCTAAAAACATCTACAATAGGAATAATTCTCCAGTTCCGGCAGACCAAGGCAAGCATCAACATATGGAGAGGCCCCTGATAGATTGCGGGATGGGTTAAATGCAGAGGACAAATTTCATTACGAGGACAATAAAGTAAAGTAACATTATAGCGTAACAGTGTTTTGCAGGATATTAATTGATCAAATTAATTAGACTATACAAACAATTCATTTTCTGCAAAAACATCCTGTTAAGTGCATGTACAACTCTTTTCTTCATTTTCTACACCTGTTGTTTTGAAGATGGAATGGAATGATAATTAAACTATCCAAATCGTGGATGGAAACACATTTTTTTGTACAGTTTTAGGTGGGAGTCAATCAATGTGTCCTCATCCCACACTTTCATTTTAGCATGCACACAAAAACAAGCAAATAACTTATCTCTGTTGTTTCTAAGTGAATCCGACCCAACGCCTCTCTCACATCTCCCTTCTGTCTCTGTGCTGTTGTGATCATGTGCACGAGCTCATTGAACATTAGCGCGATTATAAATGCACTGGATGTAGACGTGAACCCCGCTCGGAGGTCAGCAGTGCATCTAACCGCTCCGTGCACCTCCGCCGCAGTCGCTGTGTGTCTCTTTGTCGCTCCTCATCTCCTCATGCATCAATAAACCTGTGCAGATAAGACGGCTTCCACTTGCTCTTAAAAACAGCACAATGCATTTCAAAGAGAAAGAAAGACAGAGGCTGCAAGTCGTCATCTCCCCTGAGTATAAAGAGTCGCCACACACAGCTGCACCAAACACCCTGATCCAATATTTGAAGTAGGATTGTTTTGTGTAGACATGAATGGAAGTTTTTTTTTACTTTACAGGAATGTTACACCTGCGTTTTGACTTTTTGACACTTGTTAAATAATATGTTTGTAGACCTGAACATACTTTAAACCTATTATTACTAATATTTGGGATATTTGAAATACCAACATTGATTCATTACATCTTCAGAAGGTTCACAGAAACTGACAACCAGTAAATACCTGATGCTCTAATTTGTGAAAAAAATTGTAGTAAGTTATTTTTGAATGCAAAAATAACTTACATGATCTATACAAATTATACAGATTTCATTATCTAGAAAAAAGACTGGAAGTTACAGCTCTAATTACAGCAGCGCTAAAAATGTATAAAACCGTGAGGCTGAGTGCAGGTATTGCTGCCATAGACTGTATATATTAACGGACGTAGTCACTTCTATCTTTGCCGTTCTAACTAATGGGCCAAAAATCCAAAATGGCCATGAGGGCTAGAAAATGTGAAAAAACGCATCTGCCTATGCGTCAGCCGGCACGAGCTCCATTCATTTAAACGAGTGACTTCAAAAAATCACAGTAAGTAAACTAAAGTGGTCCAAAAAAATTTACCCCCCCTCAGCATTGACACATGTGGAACGGAGCTTTGGGCCAAGAGCCAACTTTTGGAACACCCTGTAAAGACGTTTTTGAGAGGTCAGCTATACGTTAGCATTGGCTAATTCTTATTCCGGGTCCACCCCCATCGGCCCGGTGTGGTATTGCAAGCATGTCAGCGCACGTCATTTTGGCCACTTTTGAGCCGGAACCCGCCCCCATTGGTAATACCAGCAGAAGCACCAGTCCACCACCGCAGTACTAGGGCTAGCTTGGATTAATATGCAGACCTCTTGTCATTCCTATTGTAGCACATATAAGCTACATATATGATCTGATAGTTATTCGCACACTAGTATGTCTATATGGCATATTGGACAAAGGATTTTTATTTGACTGAAATATCAAAGCGTCCCTTTGTATCATTCTTTGGTTATGAATACTTTATAAAAATGTGGGTACATTGCAAATACATCTATCTTTAACACCGCATGAAAAAAGAAGAAAACTCCATATACTGTGTTATGACTCCATGTCGTATGCAATGTGTTTTTATACCCTGTGGTGCTTCCTTGATATTTTCCTCCTCATTTTATGACATTTCCACCATATAGATAATTTCCCACTCCATGATGGCATGGTGCATGGGGGAAAGAAACATTTAGAAAGTGAGCAGGAGGCAATAGGGTTTTGAAATTATTCAGGCAGACACAAGCACTCCAGAGACAAGTTGGAAACCTGAGACATAGGAGAAAATGGAGCAGCAGTCAGCAAAAAATAATAAATACAAAAGGGGATAGGGAAATAGGCTTTAAGCAGACTTTTTTTTATCATTTGTCGATTTTCATGGAGTCTTCAATATAACACACCAGTACAACTCACATGGGGTGAAGCTGAACTCTTAACAACAAGACTTTAGCTCACTTTCATAACTGCTTACACTGGAAAATGCCCCTCTGTTCAGAAAATACACACACGCACGCACACACAAACACACAATGGGCAAAATGCAATATCAAACTTAAACAGGAATTTCAGCACATTTATCCATGGGGCTCTTGTGTGAGGAAACACGCACTAAATGCCCAACAGGCATCTATAATTGGACTGCAATATCTCAAACGGGCTCTCAGTTTCCATTGCAGAACTGAACATTTCTCATAGGCTTCACAAGTGACACTTTAAATCGCATTTCTAGCATTGGTTGAATCAACTCTACTGTATGACAACAATTTCAAGGGAAGTTCAGGCACAGGCCAAGATGGCACAGAGTTTATTGTTACTTCATTCTTTGCATGCAAAACATTCTTTGCATGTTTACGTTAATGTGAGCTTCAATTATTGATTAGCTGTGAATTTCTGATTAACTATAATGACTTTTTTCTCAAACAGACCTGAATTTAAAGTAGTACCCAAGGGATACCTGACCTAATCTTAGGGACAGTTCTGATTCTGATTAGGGAATTCTAGCAAAGTTATTATATATAATAGTTATTACTATTTCATTTTTGATTTGCAGATTCCTTCACAGAGAGAAAAGTGACTGGTGTTGCGCGTTCTAACCACGTCTCTGCTGGGCTACACATGATTCATAATCATATCCACGCGTCCCTTGTGAGGCTAATTACTCTCCCCACACAGTACCCAGTTCTGTTTTTATCCTCAACATTCTCAGCCAACAGATTCTCTCTATTTTCACAAGGGAGCCGTCTGAACTCCAAAGACCCAACCTTTGCATCCTCTGGTCGTGCTTTGTTTCCCATGTGGCAAAAGACTTGTTGCTTTTGGATTTAATTATAACCCATCCATCCATCCATCCATTTTCTTCCGCTTTATCCGTTGCCGGATCGCGGGGGCAGCAGTCTAAGCAGAGACGCCCAGACTTCCCTATCCACACACACCTCCTCCAGCTCGTCCTGGGGGACCCCAAGGCGTTCCCAGGCCAGCTGAGAGACATAGTCTCTCCAGCGTGTCCTGGGTCTTCCCCGGGGCCTCCTCCCGGTGGGACGTGCCCGGAACACCTCCCCAGGAAGGCGTCCAGGAGGCATCCTGAACAGATGCCCGAGCAGCGGCTCTACTCCGAGCTCCTCCCGTGTGACCGAGCTCCTCACCCTATCTCTAAGGGAGCGCCCAGCCACTCTGCGGAGGAAGCTCATTTCGACCGCTTGTATCCGCGATCTCGTTCTTTCGGTCATTACCCAAAGCTCATGACCATAGGTGAGGGAGGGAACGAAGATTGACCGGTAAATCGAGAGCTTCGCCTTTCGGCTCAGCTCCCTCTTTACCACAACGGTCCGATACAGAGACCGCATCACTGCGCACGCTGCACCGATCCGCCTGTCAATCTCACGCTCCATCCCTCCCTCACTCGTGAACAAGACCCCGAGATGATTTAATTATAACATATAATGTAAATAAGGCTTGTGAATCGATTGGTCATTGATAAAATAACTATTTCAATCAAATATAATGTGTGCTGCAAGTGAATAGGGTTGTGTTGTTCTGTGTCCACAAGGATATGCAATATGGGACCACATGTGTCCACTTTACTTAACTCATTGGGGGCCGTGTATTCCAGACCTGTGTCTACATTGACACCGTACCCCAGTGATTTGGTCTTTGGCCCGAGCATCTGTAGTGTGACTTAGAACAAACCCCCATTGCAAACCTTTGTGATCCATGATTTTTCCATCAGTAGCTAACCATGATCACATGTGCTGTCTTGAACTGTGTACAAATGTACTTCAGAGCACTTTGGTAATTAGTTTTATAAATGTAATGTGTGTCTAATGTCTATCAATATTCATGCCTCACATGGATCTGCTTACATTAAATGCATATTCATTATCGCAGCAAGAACACTGTGACCTCACGGTTTTTCTTATCTGTGCCATGAGCTATGAGCTGTGCTGTAATAGGAGACAAAATGAATTCAATATATTATCAGAGGAATTATAGTAAGAGAGTCGTCTCGGCCCTTGAGCTAAAACTTCACACAGTCCAGTAAAATGAGAGCTACCCTCACTATGCAACCCAAATATAGACCTAATGTTATGGTATGTGTGTGTGTAAGTAAGTAAGTAAGTAAGCTTTATTTATATACCGCCTTTCACAGACCAGAGTCACAAAGCGGTTTACAATTGTTATTTTTTGAGCACTTGTCCTCTCACTCCACACAGAGATGGGAGCGGGGTGTGTGTGGGTGTGTTTGCGTCTATGTGTTCCTCTGTGCGTGTATGCATGCATGCGTGTGTGAAAGATGGTCTGAATAACAGCACAAGGGCAGCAGTGCAGAGTGGAGCAAAAGTGACAGGGAAATGTCTAATTACCAATACCCAGGTTCAAATCTAATTTGAAGTGGAATATAAGCTTCTAATGAGGTTCATTTGGTTTTCTTGTGTGTGTTCTTTTTATTAACACCAGAGTGGTCTTCCTCAGAATGTGATGTGTCCTGTCACTTATTTCACATCCTTTTTGAACACACCAGTTAAACCACATAAAAAACTAAGACAACTACTCGTCCACCCAAAAGATAGAATAGAACCAGCGATGGCTGGAGATGGTAAAGATGTGCTGTCAAAGGAATCATTTTTATATTATGATATTAATCATTGTGTGTGAGTTAATTAGGACTAGAAACCCACTTTCTATGTGTTGAAGATAAGATAAGATAAGACAAGATAAGATAAGATATTCTTTATTTATCTCACAATTAGGAGAAATTTACATGTCACATTTGGCATGAATAGGAACACTCAAGATTGTGCAAAAAAGGGAGGAAAAGTGCAAACATGTTAAATGCAGGATATATTATGTACAATAAAAAAAGTGGCAATTTAAAAGTGGCAATTTACAAGTGTCAATATTAGTGCAGGTTTTTCAGTCTTATACTTGACCTAAAGTGACTTATTGTACAGTCTGACAGCGGTGGGGATAAAGGCCCTGTGGTAGCGCTCCTTCCTACACTGAGGGTGTCTCAGTCTTCCACTGAATGAGCTCCTCAGCTCCTCTACAGTCCTGTGCAGTGGGAGGTGTTGTTCATGATGGAGGTGGCTTTGGCTAGCACCCTCCTGTCCCTCACCTCCTCCAAAGAGTCCAGGGAGCAGCCCAGAGTGGAGCTGGCCCTCCTGACCAGCTTGTTCAGTCTGCTTCTGTCCCGCTCTGTGCTGCCCGGGGCCCAGCACACGGCAGCGTAGTATATCCAGTCCAGTTTATTGTTAATGTGAACACCCAGGTACTTGAAGCTGTCCACCAGCT